CCGCGATGGCTGCTTGTGTGGCTGGAGTGGGGCTGAAGGTCAAGCTCCATGGCCGGGCGGCGCAGGTATCAGGCGGCAGTTGAGGTGGCGGTTGGGGTGGTTGGGGTAGTGGTTGGGGTGGTGCCAAGTAGCTGAGTAGGGAGGAGGGGGGGTTGAGGGCAGTGGGCTGTTCCCGGAAGGGAGGGGGCGCCTGTTGGAAGAGAGAGAGAGGGTGTGTGGTGTGCGCGCGTATGTGTCGTCAAGCAGGAGACGACCTTCCCAAGCGTACATCGCCTCCTCAGCATCGCCACCGCCACCGCCACCACTTTCGTGTCGCTGTGTGTTTCGTAATCTCAAGGCTTTATGTCCCCTGATGTCCCTGCCCATCCCCTTCTACACATAAACAACACGCAAACGCATCCACACATGCGCAAACACACCCGTGAACCCTTCCCCCTTTTTTCCTCCCCCCTCTCACCCCAGGCTGCTGTCGCCGTGGCTGAGTCCCTCAAGCGGCTGCTCCCCGGCAAGCGACCCGCGGAGGTGCTGGGAGCGGACAAGGTGAACGCCATTGCGAAGGCCCTGGTCACGGTGCAGGTGCGTGAGTGCCCCTGCTGGGCCCCAGGGATGTGCGTGGTGGGGGCGGAGATGGGGGGGAAAGGGGGGCGGAAACAACGAAAACAGTGTTCGGGTTATGTTGTGGGGGTTGCAGGTAGGGCGGTACGGGAAAGCAGCTCCTGGAGGGGTATTGCTCCGCCGCAGAAGCAAGTGACCCGCAACACCTCGGCCCCCAAGAAGCGCATTTCCCCCTCCATGGGACGGCAGCTGGCGGGTGCTTTGGGCGGCGGCAATCGTAGCCTGGGCTTTTGCTTCTTGCATCATCTTAATACCCTCTCCCTTCTCCTCACCCTCGCTCTCCCCCCCCTCTCCCTGGCAGCAGCTTCACTCGTTCGTGGTTCGTCTTCCCCCCCTCTCCTCTCCCCTCCCCGCCCCACGCGCTCCCTTCAGGGTCTGGGTGTAATATCAGCCAAGGTGGACAAGCCGCTGCACCGGCTGGCGGATGTGATGGCGCTGGGGCCCCTCCTGGAGAAGACCAAGCCGGATCCGGCACTGACGGCCCGCATACAGAAGGCGCGGCCAGAGGGCTCCGCCAAGACCTTGACAGGGAAGGACAGCAAGGAAGGTAAGAAAGGCAAGGATGGATCGGCCGCGGACACGGGCGGCAAGACGGCGGGCAAGGAGAAGACCAAGGACCTGAAGGGCGTTCAGGACCTGACGGCGAGCGGGAAGAGCGGCAAAAGGGCCGAGGAGGTGAAGGCACGGAAGCAGCAGGAAGAGAGTAGTGGTGACGATGACGAGGAGGAGGACGATGCGGAAATGGAGGACGGTGGCGGCGGCGGCCCCAGCGGAAGCGAGGAGACCGGCAGTGGCAGTAGCAGTGGGGAGGAGGCCTCGGGGTCGGAGTCGGAGTCATCCGGGCAAGAAGACGAGGAGGAGGAGGAGGAGGGGCTAGGAGTTTCGGGACGGGGGGATGGCAATGGCCTGGAGGAGGAGAGGGAGGAGGGGCGGGGGCCCGGTGCAGTTCGGGACGGAGGGCGACATAGTGCGCGGGGGACGGGTGGCAGAGGGAGGGGCGGCCGAGGTGGCCGAGGTGGCCGTGGTGGTAGGGGCGGTAGGGGCGAGCAGCAGGGGATTAAGGGCAAGGCTGGTAGAGGTGGCGATGCGGTGTCGCAAGGCGGCGGCAGTGCGGCTAAGAAGGCCCGTCGGTAGGTAGGTAGGTACGTAGTAGTGGATTTGGTAGTTTGGGTGCCGATTCCGGGGCCCTGCGGCGCATATGCAGCTGGCGGGCGAGCTGTGGCGGCCATGACGGGGTCGGGTCAGGGTGGTCCCGGGCTGACACCCGATTGGACGAATCGAACGTTCTGATGACGGCTTGGTCGTAAAGGGCTGTAAAATAGCGGTGCCGCGCTTTAATGCATGAGACACGCACAGTGCATGTATGTATGTATGTATGTCCTACTTATCGGCTCATCCCGCCAATGCTTTCCCCCTTCTCCCGCACCAGCGGGACTCCACATCGCAGCTACAGCAGCTAACCATCCGACCTAAAGGGAGAGCATGTTCAGGCAATTAAACCGACCTAACGGTAATGCTGAGAATGCCCGGATGGCGGCTGGAACGGTTAGCTGCAGCCGCAGCAGCCGCTGTCACATCTCTCCCCCCCAGGGACAGCTCTTATTAGTACCAGAACTGAAACTGCAAACGAAAGGCCGAGCCATCGACCTGTGTACGGGCGCGGACTGGGAGCCGTACGGCCAAATGATGCAGGTACATGGTCGCAAGGAAGTGAATAAGAAGTGAGCTGACGAATGTTGCTTGATCATCATCCCCAGCGATAGCAAGCATGGAAACAAGGAAATAACGGGGAACAGCCGTAAGGAGCAGCCCCCGAGGCAAGAGGAAAGACATATCCTTAGTCCCGTGAACTCCACAAGTATCCAAGTTGGGCGAGCTAAGCCGTGGTGTTGTCCCCGGAGTTGGCGGATAGTTAGGGTATGCAGCGGTCAGATAACTCCCACGAAGACGGGCATTCTTCCCCTTTACCAGGTGCAACGTTAATACTTATTACAACCAGTCAATGTGGTGTCGAAAGACACCGGATGCGATACACCAGCGAAGATATAGCCATGCGATGTACGACCTATACTAGTGTACGACGTCATGAAGAGGAAAGTCTTGAGAGTAGCCTACCTACCTGAACACCTTTGGTGAAGCTATGAAAATCATTCAGAGCTATGTAACTGCTCGTGTACGTTACACCAGGTCCACCCGCTTGCAAGCGTCCTGCAGCAGGCACACCTAGGATGATGGAAGTTGGAAGTCGTGCTTGAGCTCTCACAGTCCAACCAGCCACCAGCCGCGCACTTGTTCGCAGATCTTTCTGCGTGTTTCTGTGTGCGAGTTGCATAGCAGAGCCTGTGGACTTGCAAGGTGTCATGAGGAGGGAGGCTGGGGCAGACAGCATTTGGTATTTTGGCTCCCCAATAAGCGTGTCTGACGATGTGGAGGCCTTGCTGCATGCACGGCGACCAGCCAGCTAATGATGAAGGAAGAGACAAGTGGAGCGAAAGGCAAAAGATGCGGGGATGGCAGGACGGAGTTAGCACAGCGAAAGACCCATAGCGGTGGGTGGCATCGTGTGTTGTGCATGTTGACATGTTTTATGGTGTGTATGGCGCGCTGTCAACCAGCGGCGTACGTCATGTAAACTTACTCGCCTATAGAGCGGGACTTCATTGGAACGACGTGTTACAATGAACTGTTTCCGGCTGCTTATTGTGTGTCAAGTAGTTAATGCCGTAGTTTGCCGTTGAGCATGTTATCTTGTGTGTTATGGCTAGTTGATCGCACGAGATGATCCTCGCTTATCTCTGCCTGCGCTTTCATTTTATAGGTACGATGTCTTCAGTGGCCTAAGTGAGCGTGGCGTCTGGAGTGCACTGTCGCCCAGCGCCAGTGCGAAGTTTGAACTCACCACAGCCCCGGAGGTACTCGCCTCTTTTGGTGCTTAGCCCAGTGCTAGGCTGCGCTAACCAGCAACTTATCGGGATGACCGAACAGTTGTAGCCGGCGTGTGGACCCGACCAGATCACCGGTACTGCTGCCCGCACCAATACAACGGGGCATGAGGGGCCAGCAGGCGAAGGCCCGAAGAGGTACCCAGGTAAGCCCCATGCCACGGCCTGGACTGCTGCTCCAAGCCTAACAACCGGAGACGGCCCTCCCCCAGCTCGGCACTTCTGAAGAGAAGCCCTAGTCACGGCTATGCATGCATGTATTGTCAGAGGGTTTGGAACACCATAACCCATGCTCCTAGCGGACATCGCTACTCGGGTTTAGTGCTCACCACCACCACCACCACCACCATCACCACCACCACCACCACCACCAAGAGCAATTACAACAAAACTTGGTCGCCGCTTTCTTCTCAAGCCTTACTTGAAGCGATGGTTAGCTGCTCAGCAATTGACGGCTGTCCACTCGTGCGGGAACGCCTTGCATTGCCCGTGTGTGGGCAGTTGCAGACTGGGGTACCGTTCAATTGCGGCCAAAGCCCACATAGAGGCGTGCCGTACACAACCATCAAGGATATATACCATTAATTATAACGAATTGACGTGCTTCGGCACAAATGTTAAAATTGGAAAAATACAGAGAAGATTAGCATGGCCCCTGCGCAAGGATGACACGCACAAATCGAGAAATGGTTCCAAATTTTTTCTTGAAGTCGCCGGTTCGAGGTCTACAAAATCGAAATCATAAGTATCCCTCGCGGTGGATGCTATTTGGAAAAATGAACTTAATCCTCAGACTACAGCCATATAGGCACATAAGCAAATAAATGGGAGTGTGCATGAGGTATGCAATGTAATGGCACGGTGCTGCATTGGACTTGCTAGGGTGTCATCACACTACACGCGGGGCTGCTAGGCGGGTGTGGATGGATATTGGTATGCATGTACCTACGGAAATAGGTATGGAAGTAGATTATTAAGGTGCGATCGCTCTGGCTAAGAGCTTCTGGCTAAGAGCTTCCTAGATCTTCGAGGGAACCGCACTCAAACACGATACAAGTAGGTCAAACTTTGGTGAAGTCGAGCCAACATAAGTTGGCAACACCTTGACAAAGATATTCTGGCCGTCGCTCCAAACTCAAGACCTACTTGCTGCAACCGGTACCGGTAACAACGGTTACGACTGCATTCGGGATCCACTAGACCGTTCCCGTTATTACTTGTAGGTTTATGATATTGCCGGTAACGGTTGTATAGTTTTATCCGGGATCCATGGCTCCATGAAGGTTTGTTAGCGTTATTAAGCGGCAGAATTGTTATACCATTTAGAGCACTCCGAGGGTCTGGAAGGAAACGCATGGCAAACAACTGCCACTAAATGGGACCCGGCTGGGCCTTAACCTGGTTAAATTCTTGATCACGCACCTGCACCTTGTTCGTGCGCTTGCACCTTGTTTGTGCACATTTGAACCGCACTAGACCACATACGAGGTGGCAAGTGGGTGAGGGTTGTCAACCGTCCGAAGCGCCGTTATAAATGACCCAAAGTGCGAGACGAGAACGCAGCAATGCAGATCGCAACTTTAGTAAAACGTTTCATCCCTGCAAAAAGATGTGGACATTTGCCAGGAAAAGTAGACTGTAAGGTGACCACCCTTTACCTTTTTGGGGTGGACTGTCTTTACGCGAAATGACACAGCGGCAAGTCGTGATGACTGATTACTTTTTCCCTGATCATAAGGTCTGACGGGACTTTGGGTTCCAGTTACATCCGTACAGGTGCACTTGGCGCTCCTTTCATGGACATTTCCATTCCATCTTTCCAATTTCTATAGACAAAATCCTTCAAAATGAACATCTCGAGGCGCTGGTTAGTTCTTGCAGCAGTAGCCCTCGTGGTCCTCGGGGCCACGACGGGTGTACACGCTGCGAAGAAATCAAAGAAGCCGAAGATTGCTGCAGACACAACTATCACTCATAAGGTATGTATGCAACCGCTATCAAGCGAAGCATTGGAAACAATGTTGACATGATCTAAACGTTGTTTTTGAGTACGCTCACCCGCTTGGCTACGCTCACCCGCAACCCGTTTATAACACTGCTTCATTTAGGTGTTCTTCGACATCGAGATTGATGGCAAGGCTGCAGGTATGCTGGGTGGGAGACATGGTGTCCCGATACTGGCGCTAGGCCCGCGTGGCTCCGCACCGACCTCAATTTCCTTTTTTGCCAAATCGTCCTGAGATGCTTGTTTCTCACGAATGTTGTTAAGATGCATTTCCGGGCCCGCGGCTTCGTAGGCCGCATTGTGATAGGCCTGTACGGCAACACGGTTCCCAAGACCGTGGAGAATTTCCGTGCGCTGTGCACGGGCGAGAAGGGCATGGGGCAATCGGGCAAGCTCCTCAGCTACAAGGGCAGCAGCTTCCACCGCATCATTCCACAGGTATGACATGCAGATGCAGTGCATGAAGAAAGGAAAGCACCGTGGTTACCAATGCTCCCGCAATGCGGATAACTACAAACATGCGTGCTCTGGCGCGAGCTTAATCCATGTTTTACCTGGGCTGGAGGTTTGTCAAAGGCTTTCCTGGGGACGAGATGCCTTGTCAGTTTGCTCTACCGCGGTACACACTACGAACCCCTCTTTGCAGCCACCTTACTCATGTTAGAGTCCCCGGTCTAGAGGTACTCATGAGAATGAAAAAGGCCCAAATGTATTCTGGGAGTATGCGAATCGTGTATGATGTAGTTTTCCAGTTCCATCTCCTGAAAGATGTTACGCCTGGTGTCTTCACCTTCCCCTGGAGCATCGCCACTCACCATACCCCTCATTTCTCCTGCAAAGCTCCAACATTTCCCCAACACGAGTTGACTTTCCGGCGCCATCCGCCACCTCTGCTTCCTTCTGCTAAACCTTGCGGCCAACCCCCACCCCCTCGGTGTTGCTGCTTGTATCTTGCAGTTCATGATCCAGGGTGGGGATTTCACCAGGGGCGACGGCACCGGCGGCGAGTCCATTTATGGCTCGCGCTTTCCGGTGGGTCTGGGCCCTCAGGCGGGTCAAGCATAATCAGCTAAAAAAGATAGATTTGTGGAGCAAGGCAATGAAGCGGCAGGACAATATTCGGCCTGTGTTGGCACGCGTGTACCATCGGCGTGTGAACGAGAAGTGCTGAAGGGGTGAACCTCTGCCGCCCAACCGTCTGCCGCCGCGCCCTGCTTTATTGGTATGCAGGATGAGAACTTTGCCCTGAAGCACACCGGCCCTGGCCTCCTGTCTATGGCCAATGCTGGCCCTGACACGAACGGCAGCCAGTAAGTGGACCTCGTCAGCGTCCCTTCGAACCGTGCGCACATCGCATGTTCCGCACACGTGTCCCGAACAAACCGCGGGACGTGGAACTCTTACCAGGTTAAATGCAGCACATGCCGCATCACATGTCCCAGAAAGCGTGTGCACGCTGTGTGGAGGCTGTCGGTATCCCTAGATTGTGCATAAGCCAATGCAGTGCATGGATGGCGGCCACCGCTAATGAGCTGCTCACGTCCTCACCTCCCGCAGGTTCTTCATTACCACCGTCACCACCTCCTGGCTGGACGGCCGTCACGTGGTGTTTGGCAAGGGTGAGTTGAGTGAGGAAGGGGTAGATAACCTTGATGCACGTGGCACGTATCTGGGGCCTGCGGCTGGAATATTGGATTATTTAACGGTGCTAATCCAGTCGGTTCGGACACGAGGGGAAGCTGGCCTTACCTCTGTGGTCGGTAATGGGTAGATTTTAGATTTTAGTCACTACGACTAAAATCCGAAGTCCCAGTGGTTCCAGGCCTTGAAGGGGAGTAGATGGGTGTGCGAGTTTTTCGGCGTATTCAGTTGCACTCAACGCGTTCTGAAGCGGAGGGATCCTGCCCTGCTGCTGTCCTCCCCGTTGTTGCAGTTGTGGAAGGCATGGATGTGGTGTTCAAGGTGGAGGCCATTGGCAGCCGCTCGGGCACGCCAAGCAAGAAGGTTGTGATTGCGGACTCGGGCGAGCTGCCGCTGTAGATGTGATCGGCGACTGCAGAAGTGCCTGTCTATGGAATGTGGGTCGCATGGACGTGCGTGTCCGTGACCCTTGCCAGCTTGCGCATGATTAGGACTAGTTTTACGCGTGGTTGAGTAGTGAGGGGACGTTCAACGCAATGGTCAACGAGCGGTACATGCTTGGCGTCCAGCTATGCATATAATCGTGTTGAAACTACCCGGACGGGTGCAAGTGCGGCCCTTGTGATTGCGCACTTAAAAGGCCGTGGGCCTCCGCCTAAATGCTTTTAAAAGTGATCTAATGTTTTCCCCATCCTTTAAGCTACGCTTCCTTTCCTTGTGAATGGATGCCGAGTCGACGACTGGCGTACAGAGCACCTTTCCGGGTCATCTTTTGAGGGTTCGTAGGTGAAGCAACATTGAGTATCTTGGGGAAGGACCATCAGGTGCATTCAGGCCGTGGGCAGCAAGCGCTCCTAAACGTGACCCCTGAAGCTTTGAGTCATGCCAACCTAGAGAGAGTAGATAAGGCAACGGTGCGTCCCCAAGTTGACACACAAAATCTTAGGATGGAATTTCAGGGTCCATGCGCCACTTCGGGCCTCCTTTTAATAGTGATCATAGATAGCGATATAGGCAACGATAGAACGATCTGAAGTGACAGCCACCAAAAATTCCAGATCGCGTGCCGCCCAGCACTCGTTGGTTATACTCGTTGCTCTCCGTTAGTACGACGGTTTAAGTGATGTGCATTGAGCAGCCGCACTCCTTGGTCGGCATATGATACACGTGTACACCTGTCCTGGAGTTTGGAGATGGCAAACCAAATCAAGTCAACTTGCATAGAAGCGAAGGTGAAGCCCAGGTATTCCCACTCCTGATTAGAATCTCACCCGCTCTTCCACCGTTTCCGTGTTGTGATCAACCGTATCCTCGCCTATGGCAGGGCCGAAAAAGGGAACAAAATGCACCCAGGACAGCGACCACAGCGTAATCCATGAGCCTTTACTGATCCAGCAAAGATAGGCACTGCGAAGGACGTTCCGTCAATTCAGGGAGAGTACTGGTATGGAACTGGTCCCAGTTGCCCCAGGCCGTTTGGGGCACACCAGTGCTGGTGGGCTGAGAGCAAGCAGGCCAGCATCGGCGCCTGGTTGTCTGGAGGCACGCGAAGGGAGAGTTGGTCGAGTACCAAGCAAAATGCCTGGAGCTGTGATGCTACCAAAGTTTCAATTTGATATTTGGCAAATCGGATGCAGTCAATGCGTGTGGGGAGCCACACGTGGAAGGGCGGACACTCTTATTTTGGTTGGGAGGAGAAGAGAGTGGGGGCTGTATGACATGCAGTCCGAAACATCCCAGCTGTCTGTTTGCGGCGGGACGAATGCTGACCTAGATGATTGATTTGCTGACCTGGGAGCCTGTGGTTGCGTTTTTGGACATAGCAAAAGCCTATGATACATTAGACAGGGATTTCTTATTCCAGGCGATGGACGCAATGGGCACTGGTGGCCTACGGGCTTGGGCCCAACTACACCTTACGGTGGATGTTTACATCACCGCTTACATCAAGACACCGATCCGCTTCAGATTGCGGTTCAGTTTGCACATGATAATGAAGTTGCATTAGGTGGCCAGCATGCTGTGAAGGACTTCTTATATTGTATGGGGAGTACTCTAAGGCGTCGGGACCAAAACCTCAACCTGGATAAGGTGGAGTTACTGCCGATTGGCGAGGTGCGAGTACCGAAGGATGATGCATACCGGTTACGTCATACGGCCGACCTAAAGGTGGCACAGCTTGGTAGGAAGGCCGTCCCGTGTGGATATGGCTGCCGGCATCTGTAGGCACGAGTATGTCATTCATAGGGGAGCCATCTTGGCAAAAGATCCCTGTTGGCATCAGTGCTAGTCCGGTAGTCGTAGCTGAGCTTGCTGAGGTGTTGTGTGCGTACCGATACGGACCGCTTGTTGTTCCTTTCCAGACCTCTGTCTATTACAGCGACAGGCGATGTGCCCTTTGGCTCGGCTTCTTTGCCTTACGATATAGAAACCTGGGAGCCCGCTGTAATGCAGCAACAAGAAGCCTAGCTCGAACTCATGCTCGAAGCGGGCCCTGTGGCTGACCGAAGAGGGTCTTTGTTGGGGGATTGCTCACGGTTCAGGTATGTTGATTGTCATGCTCGTAGTTGCTGCAGCACCATGAAGGTTACACTCCCCTGGAGGCCAGCTAAAGCTGTGGCTGGCAGCCAACGGCCCGGCACGCAACCCGTGTCAGGCTTGCATAACCCAAAGTGCTCAGAAGGGCTCAGGCCGTGGCTGGAGCATTGCGGGCGCCGAGCAGACGTGGTCGGGACGAGCCGCGGAGAGGAGCGTCGACGTCAGCTCTCGCCGTCGGACAACGTAACGCAAGGGGTAACTGCGAACTCAGCGCTGATATGTGGATCACCCAAGGCCAGCATACATTGTGACTGTGAAAATGGCATGGAGTAAAACCTTACATAACAGATTGCCGAGCAGTTTGATTGCGGGGTCCACAAGTACTGTTTATGGTTGGAGCAAATGAGGTATTCGTGTAAAATAATTACAGCTGGTTTCAGTTCTAGTTTGGCTTAGAGGCCAGGCACTTTCAATTTGGCCAGGGCCCTTTGACGGAAGCGCGCGCACGGCAAATGGACGGCGATTTCACAGCAGGCCATACGGCACCTTCATCGGCACTCAGCAAACGTCCTAATCCTTAAAACTATTTTAGGTTTTACGCCTTGGTGCTTGCTGAAATACAACGCGAACCGGGTAGGGCCGCAAATTATACCGATCGGCGACCAAAAAGAGGCCAGCGCATCTTTGCGCAATCAATACATCATTGGCCTAGCTATATATTGATACACTTAACATGGCGGATACGTGGGAGGAGGATGCGGCGCTCCAGCCCCCGCCCGCCCCGGCATCTGCCCCGCCCGCGCCGAGTCTGAACCCCAACAGCATGATTTTTGTGCCAGGAATGGGTATGGTAATAGCTCCACGACCGGCTGCACCTCCTCCTCCTCCGGCTCCTGTGCAGCCGCCTCTTCCGGCCGAGGAGCCTGTTCCGCAGCCGTCCGAACCAGCCGAGGCAGCACCACAGCCAGCACAAATAGAACAGCAGCCAGATGGAGGTAAATTAAGTTGTAGCAAGTTGGCACCTTCGACTTTTGTCACGAGGTCGCCCCATGCCCAGGGTCGGCACCCGCACCTACGCCAGCACCAGCGGCACCAGCGGAGGCAGCACCAGCACCTGCGCCTGAGGAACCCGTGGCCCCCCTGGATGAAAGTGCTGTGATGAAAGCGTATCAGGAATCGCTTGTCGAGGAGCCCAGGTATTGTCGCCTCTCTCGCAGTGCCTACGGCCATATTGTGCATCTTTGGTACCCCCCTGCCTAGTGGCCATCGTGGACATCTGGGGACCCGTTCCTTGTGCAGGGATCACCTGAACATCGTGTTCATTGGGCACATCGATGCGGGGAAATCCACGTTGGCCGGTCAAATTCTCTTTCTCACGGTGCGTGGCCAGCTGGTTAGCCTACTACGCGGGCAGGCAGGCAGGTTGTGGCACTCCCGCTTTGCTTTCGGTTTTGGCGTGGCGGGAGGTGGGAGCGGGTTGGGAGGGTTTCGAGCTTCTCAACGCGAATCTACAGCAAACCGTAAACCCAAGCTGGAGACTTATGAGCACTGGACTCCTTACCCCCCAGAATTATAGTTTGCGGCTGACCTCCATTCTAAAAAGGATGCTAGTGGTTTTCGTGGTCGCCCTTGGAAAGCCTAGACTTGTCCTAGACCCGGACAGCTCAGCTACCATTCGTCCAGGCTTAGGAACCGCTTATTTGACGACTTTTGACGGCACCTTCAAGCGCACGCATACGTGTGCGTATGCACCCTGTATGCGGACAAGGGCTTCGGCTCGCGCTGGTCGTTCACCAGGTCGACGGGATGGCCGTCACAGGACTGACGCGCCCTGGCATCCGTTGGCTTTGGAGGACTAGGAATTTATCCAAGGCCAACAGGGCACACCTGATTCCGACCTGGGTCAGACCATTTCGTTTCGAGTATGCCGCGGGGGATTTGGAGGAGGAAATGGGGCTTTGTGCTGGGGCCATGGTGCCGCCCACAATCCTCCAACTTGGAGAGCCAGGATTGTGTGGAGAGCTAGGGTAACTCCATGTCAAGGGCAGTGCCGGATTATTGTTGCCGCGGTACTCTCGCCTGTCGGACTCTCATTACTTGTTTTGATGTTGTCTAGGTTGCGTCTGCGTGGTTCACTTTACCACAGGAATCTGGGACTCAGTAGCAGAGCGTCGGGAGCGATGAGAAGTTAGGGCGGAACGAAAGAGGCACATGGGGCGCATGATTGACGTGCAGATGGACGCGTGCCAACGGTATTTCGGTCAATTGGTCTTCATGGCGAGGTGTGTACTCTGCCTTTTGCTGTTGGCTTCGCAGGGCGGTGTGGACAAGCGCACCATCGAGAAGTACGAGCGGTGAGTGCCGTATTGTGCCGTATAGTAGCGAGAATGCCGCACACGGGGGTTGGAGGAGGAATGACGGTATGGTGTGCACAGACAGGCGTGCGGGAGGGAAGGTAATCCTCAGGCGCACGGTCTTGGCTCCCGGCTTCCGGTAGGGGGGAATGATAGGATGTAAGTCTCAAGGAAGCTGCCGCAACAGAAAACACGGCTCCGCGCATAATTCGAGCATGTCGTGAGCATGTCCCTTGGGTGGGTGAGGATATGGAGTGTTTCCCTAAGTTGGGCCGGTCATGAAGCTGAGACACGTGCTGGAGTCGCCCGCGGCAAAAGGGGGCTCTTGCGGGTGAAGCAAAACCCCTGTGAAACGCAGGTCGCGGACAGCGCTCACAATACCTTGCCCAAAACTGAGGCACATGCTCTGCGCCTCCCGTGTTATCAGCGTTCTCCCTCTCCTTCGTCCGTCCTGATGCTGATACTGATGCGCTGCCACTGCTATTGCTGCAACAGCGAGGCCAAGGAGAAGAACCGCGAGGGCTGGTACATGGCCTATATCATGGACACGAACGAGGAGGAGCGTGTCAAGGGTATCACCGTAGAGGTGCGTGTATGTGTGTGTTTGGCTTAGGGGAAGCTCTGCATGTTTTTCACGTCTGGCAGGAGGCGGTGTGGGCTAGGAGCGGAGCGTGGTGGCACCGGAGGACGTCGGGGGGGTTGTCCAGGCTTGTACGTGGGGGTTTACCGACCATGTGGCGTTCTTGGAACCGGGTGTGGGTGTGGGACTGGTGCGTCTCAGCGAGCCAGCTTTGTAGGAGGGAACGTCCAAAGGAAAAGCACCGGGGGCCGTAGTGAGCAGGGTTGCGGCGGATGAGGGGGTTGCGAAAGATTGCGTGCGAGGGGTGGATTGGGGCCCAGGGGAGGGTATGCGGAGTATGGGGCGAAGGGGCGCAATGTCACTGGGGGTAGTTGCGGTCGCGGGAATGTGCTGTTCCACCGCTGCTGGGGCGGCCCTGGCTGCTGACCCGCGGGGCTGTGTTTCAGGGGGGAAGCTCAGGGCAGGGTGGCACTGCCATTCTCTTGTGTCCGGAGGGGAATGGGTTGCGAGCGACATGTGTGTGTGTGTGTGTGTGAGCGGGGAAAGGGGGGGACTATCTAGTTCGGCTTTTGCACGGTCTGGCCGTTCATTCAGACCAGAGGACCTGGTGTGGCCTGGCCTGCTTCGGAAAGAAGAGCCGGTTCCAGGGTTCCCTAGGGTTGTTGATATCCGTCGCCTAACCCGGGGGGGGATTAGGTCCCCTCGGACCGTGGGATGTCCCCGCGCCGCCGGCTGAGGCGGGGTGGAGTGGTGAGGAGGGATGCAGTTTTCTGTTTGCTAGTACCCAAACGGTGGGAGCCGGGCCGCGTTGCCGTATCTTGTTTTCATTTTTCAATCGGCAATCGGGCTCTCCCTTACGAGCAGTACCGATTTGAAATAGAGAACGAAGGAGTTCCCCGCAGCTGCAACTGCTGGACCCGTCTCACGCTCCTGTCCGTGGATCCTGGGTGCTTTATGAAATCCCGCTCACTTGTACCGTCGAGCCTTTTAACCATTACGCCCCGATCCCTTGTACTGTTCCTGGTGATTGCGGTCTGGCTCTGTCTAATTCTCCTTCCCAACAGCTCTCCCCGCGCGGTTTGGGGCCCCCTCCCTCCCCCTCCCATTCAGGTCGGCCGTGCCCACTTTGAGACAGAGAAGAAGCGGTATACCATCCTTGACGCACCGGGCCACAAAAACTACGTGCCCAACATGATCCAGGGAGCCTGCCAGGCGGATGTGGCCATTCTGGTCATTTCGGCGCGGAAGGTGGGCCGACGTGGGTTGGGGGAAAAGAGGCGGGATCAGGGATGGAGGAAAAGGGAAAGGGAGGTGGGGGAGCGGACGGAGTGGGGACCACGATGAAACACAGCACGATGGGGACTGTGGGCTTGTGGCGGTTTCCGCAGGAGCCGGGGCTGTGGGGCCTCGTTCCTTACAGGTCCCGTTCCCTCGGGGACGGGAGTGAGCTGTTAAACTCGTCGCTTAAGCAATGCCATATACTACCGTGCGCACCCCCGATCTCCCCACCCTCCCGCACAATTTCCCCCTCCAGGGCGAGTTCGAAACTGGTTTCGAACGCGGTGGTCAGACCCGTGAGCACGCCCAGCTGGCCAAGACCCTGGGCGTGACCCGCCTCATCGTGGTGGTCAACAAGCTGGACTGTCCCTCAGTTGCAGTGGAGGGTGAGAGGGAAGAGGGGGGGGGGACGGCTAAGTACACGAGGGGGCGTGTGGGTATGGGTGGGTGGCTGGGTGGGTGAGAGGAAAGGGGGAAGGGTGCTGCAGCTGCTTCTTTTGAATGCATGCTTCCCCCGCATGATATCTGGTTGGCGCCTTCAAAACAGGGGGTTTATAATACATTGAATCGGAAGGCATGGCCCACGTTATACCCCCCCCGCCTCTTTTTCTTCAATCATATGAATCCCTTCCTAATTGCTTTCGAGGCTCTGTGCTCGTTCCTCTGGCCCCTTCGCGCTCCCGCGTCCGCGCGTCCGTCGCGTAAAACCCTAAAACCTAAAACCCAGGGAAGTGGGACGTGGCTCGGTTCGACCAGATCGTGAACGGTTTGACACCCTTCCTCCGGCAATGCGGCTACAACCTGAAGAAGGAGGTGACCTTTTTGCCCCTGGCTGCACTGTACGGCCACAACATCCGAGAGCCCGTGTCAAAGGACCTGTGCGGCTGGTACGAGGGAGACACGCTGTTCCAGGTAAGCGGAGGAGGGTTATGATGTTAGGACAGGAGGGTGGCGACCAGCGGAGGTTGGGGGGGAGGGGAGGCGGGTGGACGTGGGGTTGGGCATGCAACCGAAGTGGAATTGCATTATTGCGTATCAGGGGGGGAGGTGGTGATGGGGACCCCTTCACCAAGGAGACACGAAGGAAGGTCTGGGCTCAGGAAGGCACGAGGGAAGAGGACTTTCTACACAGACAACGGAGCCGCTGTGCAGGGTTTGTGCAATAGAGGCTGCTGCGGGGGGGACGGAGGGGAGGAGGCCTAGAGTGGGACTCTGCGGCGACGCCGGGCTCCACATTTACCCGCCTAGATGGCAGTCCGTTGCATGCACACCTCCGACTTAAAAATAGTTCTCTAGTCTGTCCGTGTACTCACCCAGCCCACCATCCTGCAGGGCAATGAATGCAAACCTACAGCCGGATTACCTCATTAAATGCTCACCACCTCCGCCTGGTTACCAACGGCATGCGTGTGCTTCTGCGTGTGTGTGCGTCTGTGTGTGTGTGTGTGTGTTTTATGGCAAATGCAGCAGTTGGCACCCCTGCGAGGCCATCCAGGGCTCCCTGAGCGATCCCTTCCCCCTCCCCCTTCCCCCTACCCGGGGCACTCCGTAACGTCCGTTCTCCGTGTTAATCGTCCCAGCTCACCCCATGTCCCTGCTCCTCCCGCCGCCCGCCGCGCCGAGTCCAGGTTCTCGACAACATCGAGCCGCTCGAGCGCAACCCCCTGGCTCCCTTCCGCATGCCCATTGTGGACCGCTGGAAGGACATGGGCACCATTGTGATGGGCAAGAGCGAGTCGGGTTTCGTGCGGGTGGGGGATGTGTTGCAGGTCATGCCCAACAAGTGAGTGGGGCCTGTGGGAGGGGGCTTAGGGTGAAGAGGAGGGAGGGAAAGAGGCTGGGGGGCCGGTGAGGTCTTCGGGCCTCGTGTGTGCGTTGCATTGCGTGCGCTTGGAAGGTTGTTGACTGCTTGTATGCACGTGGGTATGAGTGTGTGGGTCAGTGCGTGTGTGGGGTTTGGGGTAGATGTTTTCGTGCTGGTAATCCATGGCGGCGCCAATGGACATTCATTTTATTTCATGCCTGGCTGCCCTGGGTTTGCCCACTGATTGTTTTCATGCTTCGACGGGGCGCTTTCGTTGCTTGTTCGTGCCTACACGTGTGCAATCATACCTGAAGCTGTGCTCATGTTTACAAAGAAAGTGCTGTTCCTTGTGCACGCATCTCCACCTCTCCTCCGCTCCCATGTCCTCCACGCGCCCGCTCCCCTCCCTCAGGTTGCGTGTCAAGGTGGATGCGGTGTTCCGGGACGAGAAGGAGACTCAGTCGGCTCGTAGCGGGGAGAACCTGCGGTTGCGGCTCAGCGGGGCGGATGAGGCGGACATCTCCCCGGGCTTTGTGCTGTCTTCCATCAAGAACCCCGTGCCTATGGTCACACAGTTCGAGGCGCAGCTGGTGAGGAACGCGGCACGATACCCCGCATTGCACATTCTGTGGTGCTATCTCAAGCTCTGATGGAATGGTATGGTATATTCCACACGGGCGCTTTCGCCGGTCTTGTGGAAAGTCCCTCAAATGTGGCGCAGTCAGCTACCGTGTTGCCGGCTTGGGCACCTGGAGTGCTCCAATGTCAACGTGGCCGCCACGTCAGCAAACGGGTTTTGCATTAATAGCAGGGTTCTGCCCCTTTCTTCCAGCTTAAAGGAAGCTGGCACCTTTCTCGCTATGTTGAACACCCGTTCCTGGTTGCATGGCCCGTCTCCCTCTCCACATCCAATGTGAGGTCCAAGTGAGACATTTTTGGTAAGCAGAACTGGCGAGGCTAAAACCCACAACTCACCCTCCGGCTGCGGTCCAGGTGATTGTTGAGTTGTTGGAGCACAACCCCATCTTCACGGTGGGCTACAAGTCAGTCCTGCATATCCACACGGCCTGCGAGGAGTGCGAGGTGGGTGCATGGGTGGGGGCCCGGTCCGGTCGGGATAGGGCTGGTGTGCAGGGTCGGTACGAAAAGCGGGGCTGAAGACCGTCATAGGAACGGAAATAGAAGATGAGGCATCATCTACTGTCGTAGGAGCAGTTCAATGGTTAGTTGTGAGCTGATGACTTCAATCCTGCTACGTCAGTGGCTGCATCCCTTGTCCTAGGACAGAAAATGATATTCTGTCAGAGGGTTGTGCCTCCCGCTCCGCCATGGTATCTATGGAATGCTCCGCTATTCCTTTCCGTTTCTTCCAATGGCCTTCAAGACCTTCTCCCTTGCTCCTGAACCTGCTTTCCCCGGACGGCATGCCCGCCAGGTGTCCAAGCTGATTGCGGAGATCGACCCAAAGACCAAGGAGCAGAAGAAGGTCAAGTACATCAAGAGCGGCGGGATCTGTATCTGTCGCATCACGGTAGACAAACCCATCTGCATCGAGTCCTTCGCTGATGTGCCCTCACTGGGCCGCTTCACACTGCGTGACGAGGGACGCACCATTGCCATTGGCAAGGTCGTCAAGCTGCCCAAGGTGCACTAGAGCCTAACGTCCGCCAGCTAGGCGGCCGAGCAGTAGGCGTGCTGGGCGGTGTTAAAAGGCCGGTGGCTTCGGGCAGTACAACATGCTGAGCTCAAGTTGATTAAGCACACTTGGGGGGTTGGGGCAGCCAGGGCGGAATATATGGAGAGGCAGGAGCAGTAAAACGGAGCAGTAACTAGAGGAAGAAGCCCAGGAAGGAGGCTAGAAGGCTACTGCGTGGAATTGTCATGCCAAGAAGGGGGTGGTGGGGTGGGTGTGTAGAAGTGGTGTTTACGCGATAACTAGTGAGGCGGGACTGGGTGGGGCGGCAGATTCTCATGATCATCTCACAGGATCAGTTGGTGCGGTGAGAGCTGGGTCGCCTTGCTTGCTGCAGAGGAGACGTAAACACGTTTGCAGTAGGCGGCGGCTCACGACAGCAGGACGACCAATGTCGGAGGCATGCCGCAGCTCCTGTTGTAGGCACATGGCGTACCCTAAAGTCTGCCACCAGTCTGCACACCAAACTCATCCCTTGACATCCCGGCTAGGGGATATGAGTGGGTTCGGGCAGGCTAGTCGGGTTCATCCTGACTTCACACCTCTATGGTGCATCACTACTTGCGGTGTGTTACAGGTTCCTCCCCCGCTCCATGATTCCTCGGGAAGGTAAGATAGCAGGCGGCGGGAGGCAGAGGTACAGTTGGTGACGACTGTCGCTGCGGGTCCTGTCAGCTAGTGTCTTTGTTGCCCGGGAAGCATACGGTTGGCAGCAAGGTGCTGTTTGTCGGTACTCCCATCGGGTTATAGGAAGAACGACTTATGTTACCTATAATTAACGAACTGGCAGGCGTTCTGGGAGGTCTTGACGGCGTTGGTTCTATGTAAGGGCCTGAGGCGGATACCCAAGATGGTTTAATGGGCGTTGGGTAGCGGCTCTGAGCCAGCACGTGCTTGAGGACACATTTGTGTCGAGATGCAGCTGCGTGCAATAGTGGTGTGCCTGCCTGCTTCCAAAAGTGGCGATGATATCCGTCAGTCTTTGATGGGGTAGGGCGGTTGATCGCAGCTGCTCTCGCAAAGATGGTCCTGAGCAACAGGATCAGAGTAGACACTCACAGCAGTGGGTGTGGCTTCTACTGAGTGGGGTTCGGATGGGATGTGTTAGTCCTCCTTTCCCTGTTTGACATAGTGTTGTGTGTATATAGCTGTATGTACATATAGGTGTGAGTTAGATGGGAGTACCAAAATGTGCCCGCCAGCCGGCTCCGACTGCCTAAAGCACAAAAGGATTCCTCAGAACCCACTGTGAAGTCGTGCCATTGTCTATCCACCGGCTCTCACTCCCAAGCAAGCCAAAGCACATACAACAAGGTCTAATGCAACAAACTGGGCACCGACCCAAACGTATTGAATAAACTGCCTACATCTCACAAACTCTCCGAAGAAGGTAATCTCCATTCGGGGCATTCAACGAAGAGACCTCTCCTGGGAGGCTCTGTCAGCGCAGCAGATGATAGATCGACCAGCCCTTCAAGGGCTGTATAATAAGCAAGTTGCTTATTACGCACGCAACTGCCGAACCCAAAACGAGCGGGTGTTTGAGGCTTGGGGTATATATCATAAACGGCGCCAACGCCTATCGATATGTGGTTGTGGAGGTTATCCAATAGGTTCAGTGGGAGGTGTATCCCCTCGCTATCATCATTTCTGGGCCTGTCCGGTGGCACAGGCAATAGCAGATCAACTTACTCTTTCAATAGGATTGCCAGTCTCAAGGGAGCAACTTTGGCTTATCCAAGCCCCACAATCAGTGCAACAATGTGTTTGGGATGTTGTGGCTCTTGCTGCGGTGTCAGCCATGGAGCATGGGAGACGTTATATGGCTGCAAACATGAAAACCAACCCGGCACTGTTACCTGGTCCTTCCCTTACGGAAGAAGCAATTTGTCGAGTTATTGTTGATTTTTGGGGCCGCATTCAGGGTTTCGCAGCTTTAGGAATTCCACGAAAAGGTTGGGATTCCGTTGGCGCACATCACCCCTTTTTGAGGATTATATCTGGCAAATTGCTTTGTTCGCGAGAGCGGTTACAGATGAGAGGTTAATTATCTGAGATGATAATCTTTTGGTATATTAGTCTCTACTGCAGTGCACGGCCAGCTGGCCCGATGGCTCTACTCTTCGGGAGTCTGGAGCCCACTGTAACAACCACACCACACACCGCCTATCAGTAGGGCATAATGACGCCTATCATGCCCTACTGACGTACATATACTAGGGTCATAGCATGTATGCCATTACATCCTGATTAAGCTACTTATGAGTGCATGGAGTTTTGCGCATGCTTGCACAACTTTAGCTCCTCAGCAGCACGCACGTGCGTTCACACTCTTATCTCCCAGCAGCAGATAAATGCAATAGCAAAAGATAAGATAAGCAAGCAACGACCAGATGGAATATCCGCTATGTATAACGGACAAACAAATTGCCTTCCCTCCATCTCTCTATTTCGTCGTCGCGTCGCTAGCTAATAAGTAGCGCTTTATCAGACACACATATAGACTAGCTGGTAACATTCTATTACTAACTAAATAGCTCATTTTACAGCGCATGCTGAAAGGCACCGGGACTTACCATTTACGTATTGTTAACAACTAACTCTAGGGAAGGTGTACGTATATGAATGAATAAATCTTCTGCACGCAGCCATCTAACATGTAGAGTGTCGGTGGCGTGCATGCGTGTATATGTGTGTTTGTGTGCATTTGTGTATGTGTGTTTGTGTAATTGTGAAGATATGCGAAGCGTCAACCGCATGGTGCAAGGGTGCTTGAAATGAGAAAAATGAAACCGACTGACGCAATCCTCACCAGCATCAGGTAGATATGCCGTCCACCCATCTACGAGCGTCCCACCCATGCACATGCACGGGCACCCACGAACACGCACATATGGTCTTTCAGACCGCGTACCCACGCTGTAGCCGGTGTGCATAATACAGCACACATATCATCTACAATTTTGTATATAAATACGTGTGTTTAAATAACCACGAAGGCGCTCCGCCAGCATCTCGTGAGGCCTTTTCAGCGGCCAGCTACTACACACGCAGTTCACAGATACATACAGGATTCAAAGACCTCGGATCAGAGAAATTCATTCTTGGACGACCGAGGCTGCATTCCATGATGGACATCTGCTTGACAGGCACATTGAAAAGCTTAATGCTGATAATATATATGTCAACGACATTATGATTATGCTTCTGATGCTACTGATTAGCGCTTACAGAAGTTCTATCTATCTCGGGCAGCAGACCAGCCAAAAGAAGAACTGAGAAAGGCGGCCGTCGAGATTCCGCGGAATAATCATGAAGGACTGATAATCTGCGGGCGCATCCAGCTGTTGTGTATGTTGATTGATTGATTGAGCAATAAGCGACTGCCAGTTACTTAAGTAACAAGTTTGTCAATCGCCGTTAATACACTTGGAAACAAGACCTTGCAATATCGGGCCTGTACTCCGTGACGCCACAGGTACCGCGCATGGGGTGCGTTTTGAGATAACAATCGCCATTGGTTGACAGCACAAAGAACTGACAATAAGGATTGCCGAGGCACTCGTTCATGCACTGGTCCAGGCTGTAGCCTTGTTGGTAAGAAGCCATAGAACAGTCCACGTAGTCTGTGCTGCTGCTGCTGCTCACTGCTGCAGGGTCTCCGTTGACATCCCAATTGTCGATGCAATAGAAGCGCCCTGTCCCCGCATCCAACGGCGGCGGCGGGGTGAAAGGATGCCGATTAGTATTATAAAGTACTTGGGCTGGTTTGCAAACCAAATTGCACATCTCCAGCCAGGTCGCACAGGGACGCGCATGGGCGGCCGCGGGCACGCATCGCCTACTTAACTTAACTTAAGCTTATCAGCCGTATTTATGCATGCATCGTGTGTGGCAGATAGATGACAAACAGGAACCTCCGGGGGGACTTCCCGGCCCTCAGCCTTACTACTTGCACTCGAGGCCTGCTGCTGACGTCAGGGATTAACAGTGGTGCGTGGGCGAGGTTTGGTGAAGGGGGGGCCGGGGTCAGGAACGGGCCCGGGACGTGTGCGTCCTTCCAAATGAAAGAAGGGGGAATAAACACCCATCCATATTACAGTTGTCATGCACCGAAATGACAACATCTAATGCCTTCGTTCTCCGAACTTTAAATATACTACTGCTGGCCTTGCCCCAGGCAGAGGGAGCCTCCAGTAGTCTGTATGTGAATGAAAATGATCATTTTGCGCGTCATATGACGCGCATCGATACAACGCACACAATTATAACGACCAGTCTGTCGTCCGTGCATGTTTACATGAGTGGGAGCACGCATGGCTAGGCATGCATCGCTTACCATAGTTAGCACGGATCCAGCATGCTTGTTCAATAGCACCATCCTCCTCGTTGACGCCGTCGGGGCCGTATAAGGGCGCGCTTTTCAAGTAGCAAAGTGGAGCATCATTGCGCACAGCGAAAACACAACTGCGGGGCCACATATGCATATACACGCGTCCACCATTAAATGAGAACGACAGAGGGCAGCAGCAGACGTGTGGCCATGTGCAAAACAAGGATGATGATGCCATGCGTGCGAGATGTGCGTTTGGCAACTGCTCAGGTTGAATGCTCACGTTGAATGTGTATAGCTACAAGCTATACTGTTGGAACTGACGGACACTCATATATCAGTGGATGGTAACAGCAATAATAGGACCTGGCGGGGGTCCGGTGCTTTGCTGGTCTTAACATATACAGCAGTAGGAGCTTGCATTTGATCCTTGCCTGATAGTTATCCTAGCTGGCCGCTGAAAAGGCCTCATGAGATACTGGTGAAGCGCCTAGCTAGGCGCTATAGCGCGTATTTGTAGTTGTTCAAGGTGCCATAGGCGTGTACCGAAGGCGTGATTCAGCAAACATTAATATTCTTTACGATACTAAAAGGGTGACTGTTTGAGATGAGCAGGGCCACACATGCTCAAGACTACTATATGTGTGTGTTCATGGTTAGGGGGTGCGTGACCCCATACCTGTAAAACTACCCATACGAGCCGAAGGCCCAAGGGCAAGACTTCAACGCGTAAAAGCCACGGAGAACAGGAAACACCGCACTATCACTCCAGGCTAGCGCCCAAAGAGGACAACTGAGTTGCGGTGAGCCCACATATGCTCCAACATCCTCGCCAGACATGCTGGTTCTCATTTCATGGCCTCCCAACATATTCTGTTGATGATCGAATCCTTCTTCTGCACAAATATCTTATAGTCTGGGCATTCCAATAATATATACGTGTTTTTCATCCTCGGCTTGGCTATTGGTACCACAACACCGGCAAACCGCTGCTCCCTGCAGCGGACATGGTACTGCCATACACATACAGCTGGGGGCATGGTACTTGCCCCTTCATGCTCTGTTTGAATCCAAAGCCCAGCAACATAACGAAACTGCATGAGCTTGCGATGTGGCAAACGAGGAATAAAAACTTTAGCATGTGTTGGCCACATAACGGCTGCGGCTCCCGAAAAGGGCTGAAGCATCCTGGGTATCACGGAATCTGTCAGCCGCCGATCGGTACTTTTCTGAAAAAGACGTCCCAATCCAGTGCTTATACTTCGCCATCTGCACTCACGGTTGCTTCCCATTTGATGGGTACTCCTCTAGCAAGACAGTCAGACGCGCATGGTCCCAGCCGCTCATCAAACGCTCCCTTAGTGCCGTTATCACTGCTCCTTCGGGGAGAGGTTTACCCAACAACCAGTCAACACCCTCCTTTACCCCCACGACTTCTGCTCCAAATTTGCACTTCAAGAAGGAAAACAGTCGTAAGGTTAAGGTTCCCCAATCCTCATATTCCGGGTTGGTCAAAGCATCGGTTATCTCCTGCCATAAAACTGCATGCGCAATGGACCTCACTTGCTTTTGAAGGCGGTTCCAGAAACGGAAGATCTGTTTCACCATGTAATACTGTAAGGGGAGTTCAGCTAGCTCCGCATACAACAACAGGAGGGATGGCCGTGCCGCCCCCACTACCTGCGTCATGAACAAAATCTGCAGCTGGACTGCGCTATCCTTCAAACAAGCTTTGAACATGCCCTCCGCAAGGTTGGCATTATCCCGCCGCCTTCCCGCCCTATCCATGACCTCTGCCAGCGCAAAAGGGCCCCAAGCCTGGCAGCCATACAACAGAATTGCTCGGACTTGTGTAATACTGCTATATGACACCTCTGCTGCTCCTGTTTGATCTGCTCGATCAATCGGCGCTGCAGCCTCACTACGGGCGGGGTAGGTTCTGGCGAGTTTTACTAATGTGATCGCTACAGAATCAAGGTATACCTACGTAGCTCGGTTGCAGAACATATTGGGCTGCTCCCTATCTCCTACAGTAAAAACAAATAATGATAAAATTCCTTCTATCTAGGATTTGGGTTTTTCATATTAACTCTCAACCCTAAAACCCTGTGTATGTATAGTAAGTGTTTGTATTGTCCTGCTGGTCTGTATGTGTGTGCCACACACTAACTTGCTCGAGAATACTGGTGAACGAAGCACTGCAGGAGTGGTACACCCACGCAGCATGAAAATCCCCTTTCCTCCGCCGTAAGCCAACCCACCTACCTTGGCTCCGTGTTGCATGCAGCTCTGCATTCTTTCATGTCTGCTGTCGAAACAGAGCGAATATTGTAGCCTGCTATATTTGTGTATTGAAAGCATGACGATGGAGACTCGCCTGTATGTACATATCAGGCGTAAATGTATGGGCAAAGAGCCTTCACCTGAGTTGTTGCAAATCAATCAATACGTCTGAATTTTACAGCTAGACAATTAGGATTCAAATAAAGCACCAGGGACGCAAACAGTTACAAGTAACAAGTAACAAGTGCCGCACGCAAGTGCGGGTGTGTACGTAAAAGCCGGAGGCCATGGACGTTATATTAGTATATTAGTATTGATGCGGGTACACGGGATCCTCCGGAGGCCATCCTCCTCCTCCCTCGTTCGCTTCAGGGCGAAGCGCCTCAGCGCGACGTGCCTGGCCTCCCAGATTTCCGAGAAGTACCTGGCCAATGCCAGGGTTGGCGCCTCAGTCATAATGGTGCGCATGCTGCGCCCCTCAAAAGACTAGGTCACCATCGTACTTAGCCCGTATGCTCTTGTAAGCGGGGCATTCATCAAAAACATCAAATTCATCTTCAACCGCTCCACAGTCACAGAGCAAATATAGTATACTATAGCTACGTAGCTGGCGCCGGACGGTAGCTACTGCCATGCTGCTTGAGAGGCCTCACGAGATGCGATGATGACAGAGCACTTTGGCGCCATATGCATATTGCCAACGCATTTATGCTCACAGCATGCTGGCCAACGCAGTCTACGTACGTACCTATGGCTGTGGTTCCATTACAGGTAAACCACCGCGGATTGCCTGCTGAACTGTACTCCACTGTAGAAGGCGCAATCGGAAGTCCTGTCTGAATCCAGCCACGAATGCCAAAGAGCTGCGCGTTGCCCCAATTGCAGTCCAACTGAACCAGCTGATTGCCACTTCCTGCGTCACAATCATCATCATCATCATCATCATCATCATCATTGCACCCGCCGGCAACCCCGCATGTTCATTATTAGTTATTAGTTAGCCATCAGTGGAGCCAGTGGAGCAAGATACAGGTGGATGGCTGCGTGCAGCAATCGGAAAATAAGGAAATGAGCAGTAGCGAGGGGCATTGTCTGCAATACGCGTATGCCCCTACGCCTTATGAACGTACACATGGGCGTTGGACCTAAAGCTGGTTAACCACCCGTACTGGCTGTGTAGTAGCTGGTACACAGTACGGCTCTACAAATACGCGCGAAGCGCGACCACCAGCATCTCGAGAGGCCTTTTCAGCGGCCAGCTACTACAGGCTGCCCAGCTTATAAGCTAGAGTCATGTGCATGTGTACTGATGACTTGCCAAACCCGCCCATTGCACCCATCATGCACCCGGACTATTAAGTTATACTGGAGGGCAAAGGAAACCTCAGGTACACAAGGCGAAGGTAGACGAAGCCTAAGGTATATTAGAGGGCGGGATGGATTACTCATAAGGGACACACGTTTGCCGACCAGCCGCTAGCCATACTGCAGAAGACAATAAGCGCATATAGTGTACAGTGTACACACATGGCATGCGGCATAACGAATATGCATGGCTGCTGGAACTAACGGCCAGCAGCCAAAGCGTTGGACGCCATTGAAAATTAAAGTGGCTTACTTTATCCATCAAGATGCTTGGTTTAATTGCTGCTAAATACGCGTATGTATGTATGTACGTACATGCAACTCATTTCGCTTGACAATGAACAGGGAGCCGTTCTCACGGCTGGTTCATGCAAGCAAGGCATGCACATACACTATTTAAGTGGCGCATACATGTGATTAATTACACGTATGCCCCCCACTTAATATTACAGCCCCATGTGCGTGTAGAAGGATTACAATGCTTTTAATAAAGCACGCGAGGTAATGGGTCCGCGAAGGGATCGCACATCCACATACACCATACGTCATGTGACCAACCCACGAAACAAGAATCTGCTGCTTCCTCGGTGAGGCTGATAAGAGCCATAAAGGGCCAGAGCAAACAACCGCGGTTCCGTTTCCCTTGTCAGTAAATTTTTAATCACCTATAGGTGACACCCTCATGTATTAGAGAGGGACGTAGGTGGGCAAAACTTTTACTGACAGGCCTTTTAACCTACAAATCCGCCAGGCTGCGGCTGGTGTACCCTTGTTACCTATTTACCAAGGCACTTCGTGCCCCACCTACCCCTCCCCAAATCACCACCCTAACCTCGCCCGGCCGGCTATAGGGCATGTGTGCATCCCCGATCGACTGTTAGAGTCCATGGTGTGCCATCCATCAGGAGTTTTTACTACCCATGAATCTGTCTGTCTGTTTGTCTATCCGTCCAACCCACCTGAATCCATGGTGATGCATTTTCCGCTATGCTTCGCAACCATGTAGACCTGGCCCACGATGCAGGAGTCTAGGACGATCCATTTGCGGTGGTCTGGCAGCAGGTTATCACCACCATCGCCACCTAGGCACGACTGCAGCTCCACCTGAAGATAAGAAACAAGCAAACAAGCAATAGGCGTATATAAATGTGTATGTATGATGTGTGATGTGTGGGACAGGGGGTCATATCTTCACCCTGCGGCCGCTAACCGGCAGACCCTGCCTTCCCCGGTATTTCGGGGCGCCCTCATTCAGTCACCCTAGCCAAATTCTCAGTAGATCGCTCAGGTTCCGCACCCACCACCGACATCCAACGGAATCTGCCGGATGAACGGCGGTTCAACTCAATTCCTGGTCAGCTCGCAGGTTAATTTATCCCAGGTCACCACCGTTCGTCTACTAGGGGCACTTTTACCTTCCTCCATCAGAAGGATTTTTGATCTTGACAGGTCTCAATCCCGGGATCTCCCGGGGGCAATACGTATATATGTACGTATGCATATATGAGAAGCAGCATAAAACATAGAATTGAACTTGCTCGTACACATCGTCACAATGGAACCACTGAGCATGTACCCACTCCACATAAATACACAAGATAAGCAATAAGTAACGGAGCCTAAGGCTCAATCGCCCAAAGAAAGTGGTGTGTGGGGGGCCGCTGTGTGGAGGCCCACAGTCCGTGGCAGTGAGCCCCCCAGGATACCCGTAGGGCTGCTATTGGCTTACGTACCCCTGCCGCCTCCTCCCCTGCCGCCTCTATCCTCTGCCGCCTCTATCCCCTGCCGCCTCTATCCCCTGCCGCCTCTATCCCCTGCCGCCACTATCCCCTGCCGCCTCTATCCCCAGCCGCCTCCTACCCTGCCGCTTCCTTCCCTGCCGCCTCATCCCCTGGCACCTTCTCCCCTGCCGCCTCCTCCCTGCCGCCTGCTTCCAACACTAGGGTTACATGTGCACAACGTCACCTTCCCTTTGCGCAGCTAATCACGACCTGACTCGTCTTGGACTTGAGCAGGCGACTTGTCACAAACCCTTAACCCTGTATTCTGCAGGAAACGAGCTGACTCGCCTGAGATTTTAGCAGGCGAGTTCTCAAAATGTTGAACTTACATTGAGGCACAGGATACCCGTAGGGCTGCAGTGATTACAGTCCACGCGTACGTACCCCACCGCCTCTATCCCCAGCCCCTACTCGCCTGCCGCCTCCTCCCCTGCCGCCTCCTCCCCTGCCGCCTTCTCCCCTGCCGCCGCTATCCCCTTCCACCTCCTCCCCTTCCGCCTTCTCCCCTTCCCCCTTCCCCCTTCTCAGAAAGTTACCCATCTTTTTTCTTGGAAAGGTCGCGACAGGTAAATGAAAAAACAACCAAACTTCCCTCGGATTTAGACCAGCAAAAGTATTAGCAAACGTTTCCATCTTTCAGTCATGATGAAAGTCCGAGCTCTCTCTCTAGGAGGTGAGAACAATCGAATGCATAATTAACGAATAACAAACGGGGGTTGTAGCCGTAGCCCTCAGAAACGAGAGCAAGGAGAAAGACAGAAACACTGCGTGTTTCTGCCTTTCTTTTACTTGCTCTCAAGTTCTTCGGGAATATTCTGAGCAACCTATACCTACCGCAGCGCCGTTGTCCATTGATCCTCCTCGTACTCCCCAGCACAAGCTCATGTTATTGCTGAGGCGAAAGGTGTGAATTGCAGCCGGAGCGTCCTCCGTCCTGACCAGCCACATTTCGGATGGGGACTGTGTCTGTGAGCCACCTCGGGCAATAAGTCCGCTGCCTGTTACGCCGGCAGCGGCCAGAGCCTGAACGATACCGCCTCCCCCCAGCGGTAGAACCCACGCAGGCGGGTCGCCTACAACGAAGGATGAGGATGTTAAATATAGCTCCGTAGCCATTATAAGTCACAAATATCGAATACGTATCCTCACCCTCTGCGCAGGTATACCTCACATGTAGTATTAAGCGCAAGTAATAAGCTAGCTAAGCCAGTGCTAAAACAACGAGGACGCGCACCAGGAGGCCTTAACTATGTGGCGCACACATCGTCTATAGAAAAGCGAGAGGCCTTTTCAGCCGCCAGCTACTTCACCCTTGATGCAGATGCCAGGACCTACATGCGCTTACTTCAGAACTCGTTCTCGTATCTCTCTCTTTCTATCTATCTAATATGCATCGCTCGATGTCCTTACCGGGAGTGTTGCCATCACAGGTAAACCATGGTGATTGGGCTGTAGCGTACCAGGGTGTAGAAGTCACAAGTCCTTGCTGGTTCCACCCACGGATCATAAAGCGCTCGTTGAGTCCCCAATGGCAGCCCCACTGAATCACCCTGCTTTGTGCTGCGTTATTATGCAGCAATGCACCAGCAGCCACGGGCAGCCGCCGCCAACGCACATTGTCGGTAGGTGGTGCGTGCAGGTGGTTTTATGCGTGTTGGAAAGGATTTTCCCTCCATATACGTACAAAAACCTTGTTAGTACATGTACGTCCGCTACGACATGCATCTGTCGTTACAATGGTCAGGTATGTCATGCCATGATTGCCTATGAACAGTGTAAATAGGCAATCCATCGCTCGCAACAAAGCGTGCCTGAGTTATCTGGTTAAAATCAAGTAAGCCGCCGACAATACACCGTGAGTGTCGGTAAGGAATCATTTACGGTCTATGTAGACCGTGCCATGGTATAATAGATAGGCCTAAAAGTAGACGAATGGTCTATAGACGAAAAAAACATTTACAGACGCGAGTGGTGGCGGACTCACCCATGTATATGTCCAGGCAACTGCCGCTGTGTTGTGCAAAAAGATGGACCTGTCCCGGGGTACAGGACTGCTGGATGATCCATTTGCGATGCTTTGCCAAGCTGCCACCATCTAGGCATGGTTGCAACTCCACCTGGAATGGAAAATGATGCACACATAGCGTCAGCAAAATGGGTCATTCTGCACATCACCACTGAACGCACGGCGAATTACAAGCCTTGCTGCTGAAGCAATGATTTGATCCTCCCCGTAGTTTTTAAACTACACAGACTCACAGACACACAGACTCACAAACACACAGACACACAGACACACAGACACACAGACACACAGACATCGCGTAGCTCAAGCTGGTAGAGCACCGGGCCAGGTAATCGGCTAGTCTGGAGATCAATCCTAGAGGTGGTATCTGGCTGTATCGGAGGTGTGGTTGGATAACGGAGCCAGGCGGTGGCGGGTGTGCAATGGTAGATCACGCAGCTGTAGAGCATGGACCTGGTGAAACGGAGGTTTCTTGGCATCTGACTTTCTCGCCTACACACGTGCTCGGCCTCGTGCATTTAAGTCCTCTTTTTAATTCTTCCCTTCTCACTTTATCGTATGATCCTTAGTGTTGCCTGTCAGCCCGCGCGGACCACTGCTGAACGCATTTGACAGAACATAGGAAGCCCTTGAAGAAACACCACAGGGCTTGTAGTAGCCGGTAATCTTTTGGGCACACATAATAAGTACAAATACGCGCTAAGCGCGTCTACCAGCATCTCGAGAGGCCTTTTCAGCGGCCAGCTACTACAGGGCTGGTGTGTACCTGGCAGGTTTGCAGCAGGTGGAAGGATTATGCACCCGCGGCCATGTAACACGCACACATGTATGCGCGCGCACACATACACAAATATATCCGGGGCCCCGCCCCCGGCCCCGCCCACACCCCTGGCCCACACGCACACGCACACGCACACGCACACGCACACGCACACGCACACGCACACGCACACGCACACGCACACGCACACGCACACGCACACGCACACGCACACGCACACGCACACACACACACACACACGCACACACACATGCACACGCACTCATACATATATGGACACAGACATACGCACACGCAAAAGTAATTGAGCGAGCTGTTCAATGTTAACAGCATCGAGAGCGACTTATTGCTGAGACTCACCACAGCCGTGTCATCATATGAGCCCCCTCTTACACCCCAACACAAACTGGTGTTGTGACTGGGATGCACCGTGTGTACGGCAGCATCAGTGTCCACCACTTTGATCAGCCACATTTGAGAATAGTTCGACCTTTGTGTGTCGACCGGGGCAAGCAGCAGGTCGCCGGCTACACCAGAATTTGAGAACTGCACAATACGGCCAGTATCAGGCTGGGTAATCCAGGCGACCACATTATCTGCATAATAACAACCAAGTGCGATTATCATCAGTTAGCATAATGCTTGGTTTGACATTAATAATAGGCAGGCAGGTATAGTACGTAGCTGCTGATATTAATTGCTGCTGCCGTGAGTACGCTCACCAGTGCGCGGACTGGGCGGGCTTGGGCTTGGTGGGCTTGGTGGCTGTGGACGGGGGGGTCGTGGCCTTGGTGGCGGTGAAGGGGGGTGTCGTGGGCTTGGTGGCGGCGGTGGGCTTGGTGGCGGCGGTGGGCTTGGTGGCGGCGGTGGGCTTGGTGGCGGCGGTGGGCTTGGTGGCGGCGGTGGGCTTGGTGGCGGCGGTGGGCTTGGTGGCGGCGGTGGGCTTGGTGGTGGCGGTGGGCTTGGCGGCGGCGGTGGGCTTGGTGGCGGCGGTGGGCTTGGTGGTGATGGTCTCGGGGGTCGTGGGCTCGGGGGACGTGGGCTTGTTAATAGTGGGCTTGGTGGCGGTGGGACGAATGGTGGGCTTGTTTTCACGGCAATGCCTTCCAGCATGCTGAGGGAGGGACACTCCAGCGGTGAGGTCACATAGCGGCAGAGATGCACCCTCAGGATGTCCGTAACAAAAGAGGCTCCGGCGTATACAATCAAGTTATAAGCATCTAATACCATCTGGGACATGGACTCCGTCGCTCCAATGAACTGAATTTTGCGGTCCTGTTTGCTGTAGATATCTTTTGCGCAGCCATTGTCCTGCGTGCAAACAATATGGTGCAAGCATCGGTATTTATTGCATCCATGGCTCAGGCCTCATCTAGTAACAACGTGCAAATTCCTGTCAGTATTTGCTGGTGGGCCTCCTTGTTAAGGTCTGGGGCCTTTCGCTAATGGGGAAGCTTATTGGCAAAGTCGCCAGGGGTTGTGGGTTTCTGACCTTCCCTTTGGGTTCGCTTTTGGCTGTCTAGGTGACATGTGCTGTCTGGTCTTGGTGCGAGTCTTGTTTGCCCTGATCGTCTCAGGTGCAGTGTACGGCCAGCTGGCCCGTTGCTTGGCTGTACTCTTCGTGAGTCTGGAGCCCACTGTAACAACCACACACACACTATCAGCCTACATTATATATACATATAATATATCCATATATATTATATATAATATATATTATATTGTAATATATCCATATATTATATATAATATATTACATATATAATATATTACATATATACATATAATATATCCATATATATCATATATATTATATATTATAGCTATTTACTTTCTTATGGCACCATCTATACATAGAGAGTGTTGTATCATGTCTTTCTACAGAAAAGGACCGAAAGGCGGATTACTGATCCCGGGTTACTCAGGATGCTACAATTATCTCCCTTCCAGCATTGTGGGCATCCTCGACCGTATATCTATCCCACTGCACCTGTGAAATGTACAGATTTCAAAGGTTACCTACGGCAATAGGTCGAATTGAGACTCGAACCCCAGTCGAAATTGGAATATCTGAACACGATATCACATTGTCATACCACGTCTTTCTGCGGAAAAAAGAAATGAGCTCGTATAAAACTTCAGGATACCCAGCATATTACAGAGAGAGGCTCTCCCAATGGCATACTCCAGGCCGGTTCCGGCCCGGCTCCGACCTAACGGGTCCAGTTAACGAGATGGGTAACCAGTCGGTAGGATTACCGGGCGAACCGTTATCCGTTAACCGTCCCCAGTAATCGGTAACCGATGCCGGTAACCTGGCATGAGCAAAAATGCATTTCTGATTGCAACCAGTTTCTTTGTGACAATGCCCATTGTCACAAGGTTCATGCCCACGTGTCACACCCCGACAAGCTTGAGCAAAAATGCATTTCTGATTGCAACCAGTTTCTTTGTGACAATGCCCATTGTCACAAGGTTCATGCCCACGTGTCACACCCCGACAAGCTTGAGGTTAAGGCAATGTGAATGCCGGGTGACAGGGGTGACAGTCTTGTGCAGGCACATTTGGAGACTAGTTTACACTGAGATTGGGGTGATGTTGGATTAGAATACTTGCAGTTCATGAAATTGAGGAAATGTGTTGCATAAGAATATCCAAACGTTTCAGAGGGACGTTGTTTCGAAACAAACTGGATTTCCACAGTCCCACCACTCAAAGAGCTCCCCACACCAGGCCATCTCCTTACATGTCTTGCTGCACCAGCATGAGCAGTGATACCTTCTGTTCAAAATTTTCAGGCAACATCGCAATGAGGCAAAACATTGTGCCGAATCTGCCGTACAAAGAGTGTTCAAAGCTTCACGCTACTAACGGACGAATACATAAGCATTCATTTACCTTGAAAGAATAAAGGAATTCTATAGCTTCATACAAATTCGCCTATCAGCAACTCTCCCTGGTCGTTCAAAAGTTGCTTGAAGATTCTACCATCTCCATACTATGAAGGAGCGCTTCTTCATTTCTTCATTTTATCTGAACCTTAACGTATCATTCCAACACAATGTCCATGGACAACGGTAATGAGGTCGGCGCCTACGAGTTTGACCGGAACGCCCTGGACAACATTGCCCGTCGGCGACAAGATCGCCCGCGCAAGAAATACAGCCAGCATCGTCCAGTGGATGAGTTTGGAGTACATAAGTTTGCCAGGGCAAACAATCTAAGTCAATTTACCGCGTGCCAATTGGAGGATGCCTTGTCCAAGGAAAGGTGCCATATGGACGACCTTGTCAACCTATTGCGCCAATCTAGTGACATGGACGCAAAGCAGTTGCTTGGGGACATCGGCTTGACACCACTTCATGCTGCTCTGGTCGTCTCAAAAGTTTGTCCTAGCATAGCTTGCGTAGCTAGTATTGCCTGGTTTTAGTTGTTGCATGTAAGCTTGTGAGTTGGTGGCCTGGTTCATGCTTATGGGCGACAATTGAAATGCCGGGTGACAGGGGTGACAATAATGCGCGCAGGCTTGAGAGTGGGGCTTCTGGGCCCAGAAAACATTGAAAGGCAGGTTTATGCAGATTCCAGGTGACAGGTGTGATGGCCTTGTGCAGTCAAGGTGAATGCCAGGTGACACGGGTGACAGTGCTGTGCACACATTAAGTATGACAAGGATAAATTTAGGTATGAATATGCTTAAGGGCATGGTGCCAAGATGATGTGGGAGGCAGTGATAACAGTACTGTCCCAGGTGTGTAGGCATGCAGGCAGGGTGCTAGGTAGGATGAATACCTGGACTGGGTAGCTGTAACGATTCAAGCAAGTTCTTACACACAGTCCAGGCCGACCATTAACCCAACTGACCATTAACCCAACCGACCGTTAACCCAACTGGCCGTTAACCCAACCGACCGTTAACCCAACCGGGCCGTTAACGCCATTCAACCGGCCGGTTGGGTTAATGGGCCCCAAACGGTCGGTAACCGGCATGTTTATATGTATAGATCTATACCATGCACCAATCGATAAGCAACCTATTTCCCGGCCGTATCTACTCAACCGAAAACAACCTTGCTCCAGTTCTGCATTGTGGAGGAATCCATTTTCAGGCTATCCACAGGCGGGTCTTTACGATTTGATTTCTCAAGGCATGGATGGGCCGCTTTGGGTTATACTTGCTTCCATCTCGTTGTGGGTTATAACCCTTCCCCAATGTTGTATCCTCACCAGCAGACTTTCGTCTGTAAGCTTTCTACCGTCTGTACCTTGTGCCCTTGCTTGTGTAATAGGGCAGGACCGGTCCTGCGACTTATACTGAGTATCCCTATGGCATACATCAGGCCACCCTACCGGCCCAGTTACCGAGATGACCATATATCTAGAGAGGCCTTTTCAGCGGCCAGGTGATACAGTGAGATATAGCTATAGCTTTAGGGACGGTAAATCCAGGCCACAGGAAAGGCCTCTCTAGATACTCAGTATAAGTCGCTCTGCCAGGCTGCAAGCTTATTAGCGCGTATTTATAGATGTTATGTATGTGTGCCGTATTATGCACAGATACTATATATAGTTGGTATCAAGACCTCGTATATGCCTATGACCTCCATAGAAGTCGTCAATTCAACCCCTATATACTGTATCGTAGGTATCTAACATAACTAATAGCCAGTTCACATGCTACATTACGTTTAGACTTTTTGGGAAAAGTGGTCGGTTCGGACATGGTAACGGTACGTTACCGGTAAAGTGTACGAAAAGTCTAAAGTGACCGAGGGGGGGGGTGAATTTCGTCAAACGCTGACCCCTCGTACCGTTACCTGAATTGCATCGCCAATTTCGCGAGTTATAACAAATGGCCAAGCCCAATCGCTTATAAAGACCACATATTTGACAAATTGTGCGCGCTTTGCACTCCGACCGAATTTCTAGTCAAATTTATTTTGGAAAATGAACAAGGACAACGCCGCTCGTGTTGCTCGACCGCTCACGACCGCTTACATAGCCAATATGTAACCCATTGTAGTATCAGGGCTGAAGCCACCCGCGAAACGGCAAGTCGGCCGCACTTCCGGCGGCATGGGCCGCGCCGCGTCGGCCCACACGCTCAAACTCTGCCACTGAGCATCGAACATATCTTCAAGGTTATCAAAAATTTCATCCATTGCGACCGCTAGGGCAAACACCATCGCGGCTCGCGTGGGATGCGATGCCATTGCAGTAGGCAGGGCTGCCAATAACCCTTCAATTGTATATTGTGATTCTAAGGGGAAGTGCTGAAGTTTTGGCCATTGAAAGGCATAAAATGGAGATGGTTTACACAGCTCACGCCAACGAACACAACGTCGTCGTAATGTCCCATGTGAACTGGGTGACTTTTTCAGGCCCACTTTTCCCAAAAAGTTTTCGCAACGTAACGTAGCATGTGAATCCAGTATAACCCAGGTCACCCATGCCTTTCCTCTGCACAAACATCGTGACAGATTTTGGAGCTATAATTGACTGAGAAGACTCTGTAAAACCTATAGACTGCTAAGCAGACGTGTGGCGGCACATGATGTGATGTGGGCTACTCACCCACAGCCCGTGGGTAGAAGATGGTAGGCAGTGATATTTTTCGTTTAGGACGGGTCTCAATTTATTCCAACTTAAGTAACAAGGTTGCTAGGGTTGCCATAGTTTATTCGTTCATTGCAATCACAATTGTGAGGCGCTGGGGGGGGTGGAGCCCCCTCCAGAACCCCCCCCCATGTGTTGTATCACGTCTTATCACAGGAAAAGAACCGATCAGTGGATGTCAATCCCGTGATACCCAGGATACTACACCATGATAACATGACCAGGTGGTCGCTCTTCTTCATCAACGTGCAGGGGATACAGCGCACTTGGTCATGCACTTCTTCAGCATCCACGTCAGGATGCACAGGCCGGGCCCAGGGATACTCAGCGACCCAGGCTATCTGCCATCTGTGGGGGTTCTCTTTCTGCTTGTCCCACCATGCACTCTGGCCCTTGCAGACACGTTGCATCTGAGCCCGCTTGGCATGGTGAGCGCTCGGAGTGGCGCCTGGAATGGATCGCTGGCCTCACCACATGCTCTGTTGTTGCTGTCGAGCCGATTGGGCGATAGCTTGCACTTATGCTGATCACACCCGCCATGGAGGGCAGGGGTAATGGCACCCATGTCATCGGTCACCTCAGGCAGCAACACCATTGCTGATGTGTTACCGGCAACAGCACCGCCATCCTGAACACCCTTATCAGGAAAAATTCCAGGCTTATCTTGCTGTTTTGGTGTCTGTCCGACGTTTTGAGTCATTGCCTTGTGCATATTTGGCTATGTGAGGGCCGGTCATAAATGCTGCTATGCCATGTTGACTCACGGTCATGACCTTCTTATGGCCGTCCACGGCCCCTCATATCTATTCTATGATTGCAAATGCTAAGTTCTGTACACTACCGAGCAATCTGGCAGCAATGGACGCTTTTGGCTGGAAGAATCACAATGTACGGGTCGGCCTATATAGTAGCCGGTACACTGTATGGCACTGTGATCTATAGACGATACAAGTTCTACAGACGTTGCTGTACACAAACACACACGCATGCATACACACACGCATACAGTAACCATGCTTAGACTTACCATCGTAGCGTTGACTTCATGCACGTTTATCTTGGATGCAAACTCAGCTTCCAGAGCCTCGTCACCATTCTTTGCAACGCGAAAGGCAATATACAGGTTTTTACCGTTTGGACTGTTGTATGTGTCATTTAGCCAGTTTGGCAGCACACGCAAGAAGCTGTAGTTGCCGGTGAGGGAAGTGGCTGGCAGGAAAAAGGTCCGGGGCGATCCTGCTGGAGACAGCTTATCCTTGTCAAGCTGGCCGCCCCCAGTCGCAGGGGTGGCCCAGCCCATGCAGGATATCTCCATAGCGTTGGGGCAGGCGTTGCCACGGCCCATGGCAGTTGAGCGGTCCTCGTACTCGATGTTGTTACGCCATGAATGCCACAGCCCTGCGTAAGTTATTTAGGTGTGCACAGATGCGGGTCGATATAATGCGTGCAAGTAAGTATGATAGGAACTACTAGTTCCTAGTATGAGGTGGGGCAGGCAGGGGCAGATGCTGCAAATAAACGCTGTTCGTTAGGATGCCAGTGGTCGCCGTTACACCCCCTACCCTATGATGAGTTGGTATGGTGATCAATACACATGCAGCACGAACGTGAAATGCAACAATTAATACGGCGCTAGGGGACCCGGGCTCTTTCCTAACACACACTCATGAGCGGCTGTAAAACCAGATCAGCAAGTGTGTCATCGTGCTGCTGGAACCTTGCATGCATGCATCGGTATGCATAGGTGTAACCTGCGCAGGACATTTATGACGACATGTACATATAAAGCAAAAGAAATTGTTATGGAAAAAGGATAATTTATAAAGCCAGAGTTTCTTATTACATTTTTATATTTATCACTTATAGGAAATTATTTCCCTAACCTCCCTTCCCTACCCTCCCTGCGTATTATTTCCCTACCCTCATACTAAAACGTTTACCTACCGTAGTCGTGGAGGGCCTCCTGCATGATGGTTCCCCATCTATACAGACCGTAGACGGAAGTTTGCAAAAACATCACATGGCCGCTGGGTACGATGGCCAACCCTTCCCAAGCGCAATTTCCCCGCAAGGCTGGTGGGAGCACGTAGGCGTAGTGGGTAAATGATACGAACGCCCCAAGGCCGATGATGGCCCTGACAGCTTGGTCTGCTTTGAACTGCATTGCCCAGTAGCTACAAGTACTTGATATCGGTGTGGTGCAATTATCAGTCACACGGACAACCCTCAACGCAGTGACATTGAGTCCAAAATTGTTGTAGGAGCACTGTCTGAATTTTTGTGCCATACCCCCGTTGCCATCACGGTTTGGACCGAGGAAGATTGTGCGGATATCATCCTCGGTGACAGTGGCAGGGAAGCCACATTGGGGGTAATCCAGGATAATGACCAGAAGACGTAGTGGGATGGTGGGGTCTAAGGTCACCAGGGACGTTGTGGATTTTCCAGCGATTATAATTGTAGAGGCATCGGGTATGCACTCGCCAGTTGTCACATTGTAGACACAGTCCTGCACGGATGCATACAGGCACACCAGGGGGCCAACTGAAACTTGAGTGCTAAATGTGTACGTGTGTAGTAGCTAGCCGCTGAAAAGGCCTCTCGAGATGCTGGTGGAGCGCTTAGCGCGCCTATGATGTTGTTACATGGTGGTATAGTTTCATCAGCGGGCCCCTTTCCCGAGGCAGTTCCCTGCTCTCCCCTGCGAGAGGGGCGCCCTAATCCATTCACCCAATCCGACTTCAGAATGTATTCGTTGGGTTCAGCAACTCACCACCAGCATCCAACCAAATCTAGCGGATCAACGGCGCCACAACCTAGTTCCTGGTCAACTCGCAAGTTGATATAATCACGTCCTACACCGTCCACAAGATGGGGGGCCACCTCCCAATCCAACACCCCGCACACACCGAGGGGTCGGCAGGCGGATATGAATCCGGAACCTCCGGGAGCAGAAGCCAGGCCTTAACTTTTGCCAGGCACCTGCCTAAATGTATTTGTTAATGACGGGCCCCGCGGCCCCGCTGGATTGGGCTGGGTCAAGGACGCCCTCAGCTGGAGACAGAATAATATGCTATCCTAGGCGTATCGCAGAATTTGTTCAAAAGTGTGTTCTATCCCTTATATCTGCTAGACGCCATCGATGGCAACATGATACAAATAAGATCAGACAGATCAGATCAGACAGATAATTATACTTTATAAAGTATATCTGTATGTACCTTCCTATAGGCCTGAAGCCCCGCCCAACAGTGCTTGCTTCGTAAACCTGCATATACGTAATTTGTCATCTCCTATACATGCTAATTGTGCAATAACAGTACATAAGTACATAATGGTATATGTACCACTGCTGCGCGCGCTCTTACCAGCTGTACCACAGAGCCCGGCAATAACGGTTCGCCATTCGAGTCCCTCGCCGGAGGTTGATACCCCTTGCCAAGCGGTATCAGCACCCCCTCACTGTCACGAACCAGCCACTGGGTACCCGGCTGGTCGACCGTGGCGAAAACGAGCTGGCCGTTCAGTTGCAATCGGTTGCTGGCGATGATCCCAGCTGGTGGTGGCGGGATGCCTCGTGGGAGTGGCGGCCGTGGGCGCATGGCAATTGTGGCTGCACTACAAATCTCCGCCACTGAAAGGAATCAACGGTGGTGGGCAATCGGTGCGTGGGGACCAAGGGTGGGGGGACAACTGAAGTAATCTAAATATTAGTGCACGGACACATACCAGCAGCAGCTGCTGCAGGAGGCAGGGCCATGTCGGTGCAGGTATGCAGTACTGCACTAGTGCTATGTATAATTCAAATGCACATACATCCGTGCATGAAGTGCGTCCGTCTGTCTGAAAGCTAATACAAACAAAATAAACATATGCATGTAAGTATTCTGAATCTGTAAGGCGCTGGGGGGGGCCTCCGACCCAGTTTTTTTTAAGTAATAATTTCCTTAAAAGGAATAAACAGGCCATTTTGGCCTTTGGAAAAAAGGAATGAATTGAGGCCGATCCGTACATTTTCATTCCTCCAGCCAAAAACGTCCATTGCTGCCAGATTGATCCATAGTGTGCAGAACTTAGTATTTTCAATCATAGAATAGATATGAGGGGCCGTAAGAAGGTCAAGCCCGTGAGTTAACGCGGCATAGCAGAATGTATGACCGGTCCTCACATAGCCAAACACGCAAAAGGCAACGACTCGAACGTCGAACAAACACCAAAACAGCAAGATAAGCATGAAGAGTGCGCACATGAACGAAAACGCGCCAACTCAGTACGTGCCTCTTGGTCTATGAGGGGAGTTGTAACTTATGGGGGGGGGCTGGGGGGGGCTCCGGGCCCCCCAGCGTCCCACACTTAAGGAATAAATTACGACGACCCTAGCAACTTTGTTACTCAGGTTGGAATAAATTGAGACCCGCCCTAAATGAAAAAAAATCACTGCTCCGACCCCCCCCGACCCCCCCCCCATGATTTACACTTTAGTTCATACAAACGCCGGGTTTGGGGACTGTCGCAATACGCGCACACCATAATCTCTCCAGAGAGGTGTCTCTTACACGCCAGGAAGTGGCGCGCACTTAGACGCTTTGACAGAAGCCTGATTGCACGGGCGACTGCTGTTGCAGAGCCCAAGCAAACACAGGCTAGTTAACCCCTACTCAAGCACTGATCGCATAGAGTTCGTTCACCGTCGTTCGTTTTGAGGTTGAAAGATAACACTACACGCATAGCAGCAATAAACCAGAACCGCCAAATTCAACCTCTGCGGTTGGTTGCAGCCCCTGCTGTTAATGCTGCATATGAAGAACGTCGACGTTTGGCGCACTTTCTGGCGTCATTGTCGTCGGCTGGCTGCAGAATTGCGTCCTCATTGTCTACGACCTCTACACCGTCAGAGAGTGCGTCAGATCAACGTCGCTAATGGCTTCAGTGAAGTTTAATTTCTGCTTAAATGGCCTGCCACGCTTTGGTAGCTTCGGGTTCGAATATTTCGCAGTGTTTGGTCCGGTCAGAAACAGTCCGATTCCCCGTTGACTTGCGGGCGTGACCTTCCTAACAGTATCCATGGCATTAAAGTGCTATGATATGGTTAACATGTATGTCTTCTGTAAAATTCGAGCGGCTTTGGCATGGAAAGCCCATTTTTGGCTGGAGGAATAAACTTATACGGTCGGAACATTATTTATTCCTAGTTTTCAGGATCACGAACAATTTTTTTATTCCGAATTTGGAATATACCGCAAAAACAACGCTGGGCAGCAGGTACAGTGGGTTACCGCTGTGACGGTATTTTCGATTCTATTAGGTGCCGTGGGGATCCGTCCTCTCCGTCCATCCATGTATGATGTGTGATGTGTGAAACAGGGGGGTATATGTTCACCCGTAGCAGCTATCCTGCGAAACCCTGCCTTCCCCGGTATTTCGAGGCACCCTCATCCAGTCACCCTAGTTAACTTCTCAGTGAACCGCTCAGGTTCCGCACCCACCACCAGCATCCAACGGAATCTGCCGGGTCGACAGCGACCCAACTCCATTTCTGGTCGGCTCGCAGGTTAACTTTATCCCAGGTCACCATCGTCCATCAACTAGGGGAGCATTATCTTCCACCATCAGAAGGATTTTAGACTCTGACAGGTCTCGATCCCGTGATATCCCTGGGGCAATGGTCATGCTCTACCAGTAGTGCCTAACCTGAACTTATGTATGAACGACTTTGTTACAGGGTGGTATAGCTTCACAGCGGCCTCCTTTCCCGAGGCAGCTCCCTGCTCTCCCCTGCGAGAGGGCCACCCTTATCCATGTATGTATGTATGATGTTACAGGGTGGTACAGCTTCACCAGTGGCCTCCTTTCCCGAGGCAATTCCCTGCTCTCCCCTGGCTAGAGGGGCAACCTAATCCATTCACCCCATCCGACTTCAGAATGTACTCTTTGGGTTCAGCAACTCACCACCAGCATCCAACGAAATCTAGTGGATCAACGGCGCCACAACTTAGTTCCTAGTCAGCTCGCAAGTTGATATAATCACGTCCTATACCGTCCAGAAGATGGGGGGCCACCTCCCAATTCAACACCCTCATATACCGAGGGGTCGGCAGGTGGATTTGATGTATGACGTGTGGGACAGGATGGCCATATCTTCACCCTACGGCCACTACCCGGCAGACCCTGCCTTCCACGGTAAATCGGGGCACCCTCATCCAGTCACCCTAGCCGACTTCTCAGTGGATCGCTTTTGTTCAGCACCCACCACCAGCATCCAACGGATTCTGCCCGATTCATGGTGGCCCAACTCCATACTATGGTTAGGCACTACTGGTAACGCGCTGCCATTGCCCCCGAGAGATTTTGGGATCGAGACCTATCAGGTTCGAAAATCCTATCAATAGTGGAAGATATTGCGCCCCTAGTTGATGGACGGTGGTGACCTGGGATATAGTTGACCTGCGAGCCGACCAGGAATGGAGTTGGGCCGCTGTCGACCCAGCAGATTCCGTTGGTTGCTCGTGGTGGGTGCGGAATTCTGCACCCACTGGTTCGAAACAGAGCGATCCACTGAGATGTTGACTAGGGTGACTGGATGAGGGTGCCCCGAAATACCGGGGAAGGCAGGGTTTCGCAGGGTAGCTGCCACGGGTAAAGATATACCCCCCTGTTTCACATATCATACCTGGTCAGCTCGCTGGTCGCACTTTATTCCAGGTCACTACCGTAGATCGACTGTAGCTAGGGGTACTCTTACCTTTCACCATCGGAAGGATTTTCGACACAAGTCTCGATCCCAGAACCTCCGGGGGCATCGGTGTGTGCATTACCAATAGTGCCTGACCTGTGTAATATATTCGCTGCTGTGTCTGCCTGGAGCTGGATGCTTATCCTAAGAATTAACAGCATAAGAATTGGGCCGAAGGCTTTGCACAACAGTGTAATCCAAAGGAGTCACATTGTGCATGCATAGCATAGCTAGCAATGCTACGAGGCAATGGAGGGATGTATTTGCTCCGTGGGGCTATAAGCCATAGGTAGCGGCCGGCAGCGGTATACCCTGGCTACCAACTCGACCAACTCTTCATTGGGGCTTTCAACAAGCCCCAACAGGCTGTTAAGGCCCTGTCTGGCCCTGTCGTTGGTTGTTATTATGATCTGTTTGGCCCTTCTGTCGAAAGCTCCAATCAGTTGGTAGGGATAGCAGCGCCCAGGCATCAGCAGAGTTGTGGCGCGCAAACCGACAAGCGCTTTGAAGCTCTTGATAAATGATAACTTCATATTTGTTTGAAGGACTTGGTATTCAGTACTTAGCGCTTCATGTGCAGCTAGCTGATACAGATCAGCGCTTATCTGTAACATGGTGCTAAGTGATGTACTAAGCGGCCTCTTAAGTGTGTTACCAAGTAGCTATGAAGGACATATCAAGTGGGTAGCACTAAGATGATATTAAGGTGATATTAAGGTGATATTAAGAAGGTATTAAGTGGTAATGTTCCACGATTGAGCGATGGCCATCATCGTTTAGGGCGCATGGGCCCTAAATTTTGTAATGGCCCATCCCGGCGATCGCTACAAGCATGCAAGAGATAAATACAGCAGCGCATATTCAATAGGTAAGGAAACGTAGGGTTTCGCTCAATCTTTATTTGTCCTGAAATGGTGCCGTCACCGCTATGACGCCTTGCTTGCTTGCTTACTTACAGAATGAAGAAGATCAAATCATTCGTTTATTTTAATGTTCCACCATTCATGCGTATATCGCACCAAACACACAAGCACAAAGCCTATGCTTAAAAAATACTTTTTACTAATTAAAAGCCATCCGTCATACATAATAACGAAACGCAGGGCAGGCACAGAAATGACGGCGGAATCAGACTGTGGATAATGCAGTAATCATGCATGCGACGGAGGCTCGCTGTTGCCCTGCCATCCAGCAGCGGACCTACATCGTATCGACCTCCTCTCATTACCCACCTTGTGTGGCTGTGACCAGCGCGACCACTAAAGAGAATACTAGCTCCGTCCTCATGACCGCGCTCGTGCACAAGTAGGATAAGTAGTGAAGCACAGCAGCGGTGAGGAGGGTGGAATGAAATACCGGTGCGTCGTTGTACCTCAGCGAGCTGCCGAAACGGGCAGGTGCATTAACGCATGGTCAGCAGGCAGCTGCTATATAGCACGCACATGCGTTATGAACGTCTTACGTGTTAAGGAGCAGTATATATTTATCTTAGTGTCGTCAAGAGTGCGAAGCATGCATGCACATGTGCGTGCGAGTGGTTATCCGGAATCATGTCACCTCTGTCGGCATGGATGATCAATCCGCGGCGGCTGTTGAAATTAAGATGTATGCGGCATGCTGTATGTGCGATATGATAAATGAACCCACCCGGCGCTCACCTGCTGGCTTGCTGGCGGAGTGAGTTGCGGACTTCAATACACACAAACTAATGATGATGATGGTTACCGGCGGGCTTGGTCGGCTACGTTAAAGCGGAGTTCATAAACTTTATCACTTGTCTGCTGTGTGATGAACCGAATACATTTTATGGGAAAATCATGCAAAGTAATGTTATGGTAATACTGCTAATGCCGAAAGCTGTACTTGGTTTGGTTAAGGCTTGTTGCCCTGAATACAGCCAGCAGCGATATCACAAAAATGGAGCTCGATCGGCTCTTGGCTGGGCCAGCAGTCAAATAACCTGTCATTGTACGACAGCTGCTGACGGCCATAGATCAGGGTGACATTTGTTCTACCTGAAATATGGCGCCGGCCGTACTCGGCAAAACAATAGAAAAATAAAAATGGAATACTTGAGCACTGAAAACCTACTGCGATTTATAAGCGGTTCTGTAATAGGCAAGTAGGGACTAGCTTCACCCGCCCTTCATCGCTCGTCCAGCTTTGCCAGTTTCAGTGCACCTTCATCGCTTACGAAAATGTACCGCTCATCCATGACCGCGGCTGAGCTTGATTTTTCGTCCCTACCTGAAAATTACGAATGCAACGGATGGGTTCCCGTGCACGTGAGAGTCATGGAACTGGAACCCCAAAACGAACGGCGCAAGGCCTCACACGGGGAACGTAAACCCTCCCCGTCAAAATCGCAGCAATTTGCAATTATGTTTGGTAATATTTCAGTAGCTCCAAAACGTTCTGATGCGGTAAAAGCTGCAAGCTTATCAGGTGTAATGATGAACGACGGTGCAAAACTTACTCCCCGAACCGTTCCTTCTCTGTAATCCATACCCAGATGCTGTCCTCAAATATAAAGGAATGTTACTCTTGTATACTGGGCCGTAATCGTGCTGTCAAGTATAGCGGTATTATCCCTTACTTGCCCGTAGCTAAGAAGCCATCGTAACCAAAACCTGCCCTTAAGAAGACAGAAATAGTAGCAAAGGCACACCTCGCGCCGATAAGAATATCCAGTACGACTGGGCGGCACGGTATCCAGAAGCCATAGTTCGCAGGAACTACTCTCGCTCGGTCAGACGAAACTGGGACGCAGGTCCCAGCTTTACGTAGGTAAAACCCCCACTCTGGGAACCCGCTTCCCTTCGATACCCGGGAATCCCTTCATCTAGTTGTCGTTTCGTGCTCATTCGTGCTCATTTCATAACGAAGGGCTGAGGGGCCTTCAGAGCATATCGACGGAGTTCGGCTGAAATGGCCACTTAGCATGCAAAAGCCTTGTAATATCGCCATGCCAGGGATTGTTTTAATTACTTATGACTGTATGCATTGTTCCAACGTGAGTTATCATGAATTCCGAGCTCATCCCACAATGAAGGGCTGAGGGCCCTTCAGAAGTAGTTTGGCTGAAGTGGTCGTAATTCACGGATTCCTTTATAGAAGCCTTCTGATATCGTCATGCCAGAATTGGTTTTAGTGAGAACATGACTTAGCATGATCATGCATAGTGTTTTTGGTGCTACGTTCGGCAAAACAAGTACAAACGCGCACAGTATCTGTTTGCAAGCCTGGCTGGCTGTGACGGTATAATAACAGCTAATAACTATGGCCCCTCCAGCTAAAACATATTCCCGTTACCTCTGCGACGGCCGCTCACCAAATTCGAATTTGCGTGGGCGTCCTGTGGACGCAATGATCAGTGCCAGTCTCGTGCATATTATCACATCACCAGACAGCAGTGCGTCCAGCTTGTTAATAATGGCAAAGAGGCCGTGGCTCCTCACGAGATGGTCGCAATTTCTCACAGTTGCAATACATTGCCACGTACTCTGTATGGTTTAAACTTACGACGTCCGATATGCTGCAGATGAATATCCTCAGCAACAAGCTCCAGTTGCGGTGGTTGGTGCAGGAGCACAGGCTCAAGCTAACCAGCCGGATGAAACAGGTACAATGAACGAAACTAGCAGACACGTCACATGTAGACCATCAGCGATTTGAAGCTAGGTCCCCCCTGTCAGTACTGTCAGTACACTAGTGTAGGCGCCTCGTCTCCAGTGGCGGTGGACATGGAGTGGAGTCCGGAGTCCGCCGAAGGGCCAGGCGGAAATGCAGTGGAGCCCCGACAACCTAACAGGTGAGACCGTAGTCCATAAGGTATTATAGAAATGTTTCTCCTCCTTTTGCATCATCGGGGGATGTGAACACGCATTGAAGAAGGGAGGAAGATAGCAAAGCTGGATATGGGGGGGAGAGAGGAGAGGGGAATGCGGGGAAGAGATAGCTGTTTCCTATAGGAGGTGGGGATGCGGGGGAGAGAGAGGAGAGGGGGATGCGGGGCGGAGTTGGAGATGGTGGCAGTGGCGACGGTGGAGGAGGTGAAGGGGGAAGGGATGAAGGGGGCGGAGGTGCTTGGTTGACGGTGGGGATGGCGACGCCCTCCCCTGCACCCCCCTAGCCCAACGACGCCCTCCCCTGCGCCCCCCTAGCCAAACGCTGCTCTCCCCTGCACCCCCATAGCCAAACGACGCCCTCCCCTGAGCCCC